CACACACACACACACACACACACACACACAGCTCTTATAACAAAAATGTGTGTTTAACAAAACAAATTACTGCATAGTCTCATTCTGTAACTTGAATCTGTCACATCTGTCAGGAGGTGAATAGCATACATCCTCATCTGCATTCTGGAATCATGGTTATTAAGTCAGTATTAATAACCATAGTTATGAAGTCAGTATTAATAACCATGGTTATTAAGTCAATTATTATTATTAAATCTATTAAAGTTGTTTATTTTTACAGTATTGTGTTTATTGTATAAATTATTCTCCTGGTTCCTCTCATTTCACTCTGCATTATTTCTGGGTCTTGTCTTCCTAGATTTCTCTGAAATTGTCCCTTTAGTCTTTTCTTATATCATGACAAAATTCCATTATATTCATTTACCATAATTTATCTAGCTAATTATGGAGGGATAGCCCCTTGAGTTTCCAGGTCTTTGCCACTATAGAAAGAACTACTACAAATACTTTTATACATGTTGGTCCTTTTTTCTCTTTTCTTTGATTTCTTTTAGGTATAGGCCTAGTAGTGATATTAATGGGTCTAAGGCCGTGCAATTTAGTGACTTTTTGGACATATTTCCAAATTGCTTCCAGAAGAAATGTACCATTTCACAGCTCCACCAACAGTAAATTAATGTGACTGTTTTCTTACACCCCCTCTAACTTTGTCATTTTAATTTATTGCAATTTTTGCCAATCTGATGGGCGTGAGGTAGAATTTCAGAGTTGTTTCAGTTGTATTTCTCTATTAGTAATTTGGAGGAGTTTTTTTGTCATATGACTGTTTCTTTGGAAATTGCCTGTTTATATCCTTTCATCAGAAAAACTTGCATGAATTTTTTTTTCTAGTTTACTAGCTTAAACAACTAGTAAATGTTTCTCCTGGCTATGAGTCGAAAATATTTTCCACAATCCTCCACTGCCACTCTTAAATCATTGATAAAAGTGTTGAATAGCAAAAGGCTAAGTACAGATCCTGGGACACATCATTAGAAAGCTCCCTCCAAGAGGACATTGATCCAACAATGACTTCTCTTCAATTCTGATTAATTCAAATAATTGAGAATCCACCTTTCTGAATCTGTACTTCTCTAGTCTAATAGTTCTTTCAAAAAATGGAACGAGGTCAGTCTGGCATGACCCATTCTAGGCGAAAAATTACATCAGGTCTTAGCTCAGCTGTCACCTCTGCCAGTTCTTTCTCTGTTCTCTACCCTGTGCTCTATCTAGGTCTGATGATTTGAACTCATTGAATGCAACTAGGATGAATCTACCACCGCCTCACTTTTTTTTAACTTTACCTCCCTGTTAATTCTTTTTTTTTTTTCCCTGCCCATCTCTGGCTGATCTTTCTCCTTGGCAGAGAACAAAAGAAGCCAGGTAAGGTGGCAGTTTGTTTTTATCCTCCATTATGCATTGTTATCGCTCTATCTACCCTGAGCTACAGTTATGCTCATTATTTGATATTTTCTTATAGGTGTGTGGCACTCCTGTTTCCATCTGCTTCTTTAGTCATTTTCAGTCGTGTCTGACTCTTTGTGACCCCATTTGGGTTTTTTTTTTTTGGGACGAGATGCTGGAGTGATTTGCCATTTCCTTTTCTACCTCATTTTATGTATGAGAAAACTGAGACAAACAGGGTTAAGTGACTTTCCCAGGGTCACACAGCTAGTAAGTATCTGAGGCCATATCTGAAATCAGGAAGATGAGTCTTCCTGATTGCAGGCCTGGTACTTTATCCACTGTGCCACCCTTTTTACTTACCTTTGTTTCCTTCTGAGATTTTAAAAAAATCTTAGCTGGTCATTAAATTACTTCTACACTCAGATATCGGTTTTTTCACATAGTTTATCCTTTTCTTCCTCATTGAAATAATTTTTGTTTGTTTCATTAGAATTTAATTTTTGTGTGCTTTCCAGGAACACTAATAGTGTCAGTTAGCTTCATGTTATTGTGTGCATTTCTTTCCTGGAGACAAAATGGTGTCTGCCTTCTTTTTCTTTTCTTTTTTTTAATATACATAAATTTTTATTGGTATTCTATTTTTTACATCATTATAATTATACCCAGTTTCCCTCCCCCTTGAGTTCCCAGAGAGATACCCCTTATAACAAATAGTATTTTTTAAAGACCTTGGCCACTACCCCCCCCCAAAAAAAAGAAAGAAGAGAAAAAAATTAGCACAACTTTTCTATTCATTGGAAAAGTGTGAAAACATATGCAGTAGGTAACACTTATAGATCTACCTCCATGAAGAGGTGGATTGGGGGTGGGGGGTATCCTCTCACATCTGTTCATTTGAGACATGTTTAATCTTTATAATTTTATTATATTTACTTTTTGAAAAATAAGTTTTTATTGATGCATTCTGTTGTGGTTATCCCAAGGATCACTCTCCTTTTCCCTCCCAGAGAGCCATCCCATATAATATAGTATTTTTTAGAGACAAAAAAAAATTCAGCATACCTGATTGATAACGTGGAAAAAGCCCCAAAACATGCACACCTGTGGACTTTTCACCTCCTTGAAAGGTTGGGTTATCTTCCCATATCTCTTCATTCACATCCTGTTTGATCTTTATTATTTTTTATATTCACTTTTTTTCCTTTAATTTATTATGATTTATCAACAATCACTTCCATATACTTTTGAGTTTAAAATTTTTCTCCCCCTTTCTCCTCACCACTCTCCCTAAGACGATGCACAGTCTGATATAGGCTGTACATATACATTCCTATTAAACATATTTTCACATTAGTGATGTTGTAAGTAAGAATTAGAACCATTAGGAAGAACCACCAGAAAGACAAAACACAAGTCAACAGAAGAAAAAAAAATAGTAAATAGTATACTTTGATCTGCATTCAAACTCCATAGTTCTTTCTTTGGATGTGGATAGCATTTTCCATCATGAGACTTTTGGAGATGTCTTAGATCCTTGTATTGAGGGAAAGGGTTAAGTTTATCAATATTAATCATCACACAACGTGGTTGTTATTGTGTACATGTTCTCCTGGTTCTGCTCACTTCACTCAGCATCAGACCATACAGGTCTTTCCAGGTTTTTCTGAAGTCTGCCTGTTCATCATTTCTTATAGCACAATAGTATTCCATTACATTCATATACCACAACTTGTTCAGCCATTCCCTGATTAATGAGCATCCTCTCAATTTCCAATTCTTTGCCACCACAAAAAGAGCTGCTATAAATATTTTTGTACATGTGGGTCATTTTCCCATTTGTATGTTCTTTTTGGGATATAGCCCTAGAGGTGCTATTGCTGGGTCAATGGGTATACACATTTTTATAGCCCTTTGGTCATTGTTCTCCAGAATGGTTGGATCATTCCACAACTCCACCAACAGTGCATTAGTGTTCCAGTTTTCCCACATCTTCTCCAACATTTATCACTTCCCTGTTTTCTCATGTTGGCCACTCTGATAGGTGTGATGTGGTACCTCAGAGTTGTTTTGATTTGCATTTCTCTCATCAATAGTGATTTAGAGCATTTTTTCATATGACTATAGATGGCTTTAATTTCTTCATCTGAGAACTGCCTGTTCATATCCTTTGACCATTTATCAATTGGGGAATGACTAATATTCTTATAAATTTGACTTAATTCTCTGTATTTTAGAAATGAGGCCCTTATCAGAGATACTGTTTGTAAAAATTCTTTCCCAATTTTCTACTTTCCTTCTCATCTTGGTTGCATTGGCTTTGTTTGTGCAAAAACTTTTCAGTTTAAGGTAATCAGAGTTACCCATTTTGCATTTCGTAATGTTCTCTGTCTCCTGTTTGGTCATGAATTCTTCTGTTCTCCATAAATCTATTCCTTGCTCTCCCAGTTTGCTTACAGTATCAGCCTTTATATCTAAATCCTGAACCCATTTTGACTTTGTTTTGGTATATGGTGTGAGATTTTGATCTATGCCTAGTTTCTGCCATACTCTTTTCCAGTTTTCCCAGCAGTTTTTGTCAAAGAGTGGGTTCTTTATATTCACTTTTGATTTTGTGGTGTGTAGTTGTTCCTTCTGTTTATATTGTTGTAGATACTGTATATATTATTTTCTTGACTTTGTTTCCTTCCTGTAGATCTCTCCATGCTTCTCTGGTTACAGTCACTTTTGATTTGTTTTGGGTGTGTGGTTCTTTCCATTTACATTGTTGTATTCCTTATACATTGTTTTTCTGGGTCTGTGTCCTTCACTCTGTATCAGTTCATGTAGGTCTTTCTATGCTTCTCTGTATTTGTCACATACACAAATTCTTACAACACATTCCATTGCATTCATATGTCATAATTTGTTTAGCTATTGACCATTCAGTGGACATGTGCTTTGTTTCCAATTCTTGTGCTGCTATAAATATTTTGGTGTATGGAGACTTTCTTATCAGTGAATTCCTTGGAGTATAAACCTATTGATGGAATCTCAGAGGATATGAATATTTTGTCCTTTACTGGATTCTGCCAAGCTCTTACATTTTTTTTTACTCCAGTAGGGTCCTTTCCCAGCCTGAGTTATTTATTTTAGAGTTAGTGCTGCCTTTTACATTATATGCTGTCTAGTGCCCCAGAAGAGCCAGGCAGAGGCAGGAAGCATGGTGACATGTTGTTGTTTTTTTCCTGGCATTGTGTAGTTCTTGTGTTAATAGCATATGTGTGAGGAATTCATTCATATGAGGAATAAAGTTTAAACCCTAATCATACTGTTGAAATTCCTTAGAATTTATTTGTCATTGGGTAGTAAATAGCTTTCATTTCGAATCAATTCCCCACAGGTACAGAGTATTACTTGTGTGGTGTTACATAAATATTCTTTTCTGGTAAATCCAAAGGTCATTGTTTGCATTTCCTTTTATTTACATGTCCCCTATTTTTAACTTTTGGCCATATAGAAGAAAATGGGTGTGAGAAGGATTGTTCTCGTTTGAGTGGTTGAGATTCCCTATTAAACACTGTCTTCATTTGCAGATGGATAATGCCCAGGACCTGCTCTCCTTTGGAGGTCTTCAGGTGGTGATCAGTGGGCTCAACAGTACTGAGAACTTGGTGAAGGAGTATTCTGCTTTTGTGTTGGGTGCTGCTTTCTCCAGGTAAGCCAGGGGTTCTGCCATTTAGATGGTCAGGATGAAAATCACACCTTTGAAATGCCTGTCAAACTGGGAGATGGAGAGATCTGTGGGAAGGTCCTCTAGTCCTCTTATTGGCACATTTCAGACTACAGTTTTGGGTATTCCTGTGGGAAAGGTAATGAAGAACTGTTCCTTCCTTTGTTACATAATCGTGCAGAATATCGATTCCCTCTCTTCCTTTAAGATGTGGGTCAAAAAGAGAAAAAGACGGGTCAAGCACCATCTTCTGCAGGAAGTATTTCCTGATTCCCTCACTGCTAGTGTCTGTCTCCCGAATGACCTTATATTTAACTACCTTGTATAGATTCACATTTATTAACTTTGTATTGATGTACCCTAGAAGCAGCACAGTGGATAGACCATTGGGTCTTGAGTTAGGAAGATCTGATTTCTAATCCAGCCTCATATACTTAATTAGCTGTATGATCTTGGGCAGGTCACTTAACCTTTGTCTGCCTTAGTTTCCTTGATTGTAAAGTGGGGATACCTATTTCCTAGGGTTGTTGTGACTATCAAATAAGATAATATTTGCAAAGCACTTAACACAGTGTCTGACACAGAGTAGGCACTTAATAAATCCTCCCTTCCTCCTTCTCTCTTTTCTTCCCTCTTTCCTAGCCTTCCTCCCTTTTATATTCTTGTCTTCATTAAAAGATGAACTTCTGGCAAGTAGGCATTTTTAATTTTTTCTACTTGTATCCGCAGCATCTAATATGTACCTTGTACATAGTAGGCACTTAATGGGAAGTTTTCCCTGACATCAAACCTAAATTTGCCTTTGTAATTTTCACCCATTAGATTTGATTATACCCTCTACGGATAAACAACAATGTAATAATCCCTTCCTGGACACTGGACAGTTCTTCAGGTCCCCTCTTGTACTTTCAGAACTGCATGAGAGCTTTGAGTATCTTGTGACCGGAATATGGCACAGAGGGATTTATTCCTTTATTCATGTAGCCCAATATTGCATTGACTTATTGGCCTGCTACATCACATAGCTGATGCACATTGAGTTTTCAGTTCTCTTTAGCCTCCAGATCTTTTTCAGAACAACTTCCCTTTTTAATGTAAATAGTATTTTATTTTTTTCCAATTGCATGTAAAGATAGTTTTCAGCATTCACTTTTTATAAGATTTTGAGTTCCAAATTTTTCTCCCTTTCTCCCTCCCACCCCCCCAGATGGCAAGCAATGTGATATAGGTTATACATGTGCAATAGTATTAAATATATTTCTACCTTAGTCATTTTGTGAAAGAAGAAAGAAGAAAAGAGACAAAAAAACAACAACAAAGAAAGTGAAAATAGGATGCTTTCATCTGCATTCAGACTCCCATCAGTTCTTTGGACGTGGATAGCATTTTGCATCATGAGTCTTTTGGAATTGTCTTGGATCATTGTATTGCTGAGAAGAGTTAAGTCTGTCATAGGTGTTCAGTGTACAGTGTTGTTGTCACTGTGTACAATGTTCTCCTGCTTCTGCTCACTTCACTCTGTATCAGTTCATGTAAGTCTTTCCAGGTTTTTCTGAAATCTGCCTGTTCATCATTTCTTATAACACAGCAGTGTTCCATTCTATTCCTATACCACAGCTTGTTTAGCCATTCCCCATTGGATGGGCATTTCCTCAATTTCCAGTTCTTTGCCACCACAAAAAAAGCTGCTATAAATATTTTTGTACATGTAGTCATTTTTCCTTTTTTATGATCTCTTTGGGATACAGACCTAGAAGTGGCATTGCTGGATCAAAGGGATGCACAGTTTTATAGCCTTTTGGGCATACTTTCAAATTGCTTTCCAGAATGGCTGGATCATTTCACAACTCCACCAACAATGCATTAGTGTTCCAATTTTCCCCCATCTTCTCCAACATTTATCATTTTCCTGTTTTGTCATATTAACCAATCTGATAGGTGTGATGTGGTACTTCAGAGTAGAACAACTGCTCTTTAACTATCATATTAACCTCAAGTGGCTGTGAATTTTTTGACATTTCTTCTGCATCATGACTATTTCCTAGCCCATATCTCAGATAATAGATACTTTATACCACATTTCTAAGGCATAAAGTGAGTAAGGCATTTACAATAGCAGTATGAGGAGTTGAAAGAGGGCATGAATTCCTAGAAATTTCTCTTTTGATAGGTAATCAGCATCTGGTCAGGGAGGGCTGTTATAGAATCTCTCTTTTTTTTTTAATAATGAATTTATTTTTATTTTTCAACATTCACCTCCATAAGATTTTGAGTTTTAAAATTTCTCCCCCTCTCTCTTCTCCCCCTCCCCCAAAAGAAGTCATGCAGTCTGATATAGGCTCTACTTATATGTTCATATTAAACATTTTCCCATTAGTCATGATGTAAAGAACAATTAGAACTAATGGGAGGAACCACAAGAATGAAGCAATAAAACGAAACAGCAAAGGAAAAGGAGAGCAAATAGTATGCTTCTGTCTGCATCCAGACTCCAGAGATCTTTCTCTGGATGTGGATAGAATATGTCCTTTAATCAGTAGCAAGCCAGCAAATGTGATATCCCTCATTTTTTATCAAAGGGTGGAAAAGCCATGGTGTGAGTTTCTTGGCAGTTTCTCAGGAAGAACTGTTGAGAATTGTGGGACTATCCCACTATTCCTCCCATGAGGGAGATCAGTTTATTTTTATACCACAGTTGGTTATTCAGGACCATATTCTTCATACCTGTGAAACCGGCAAGGAATAAATTTCTTTTGGCCCTTTGCAGAAGCAGAGCATCCTTATCTGCCACAACAGTAACATTTTGGGTGCGAAACTGCTCTGGATATCTGACCAGTTGGGAATTTTATAGGAAAATATTTTCTTTGTGTTTACTTCTCATCTTTAATCTGATTAATTAGAATTTGATTCTGATTAAAACCACCAAGAGTCTGAATCTTCTTATTAATGATGGGGCAACAGTGTTGGAACATCCTGGGTAGGAGTGTTATGGGGAAGGAAGTGCTGTAAGAAGCCCTCTCAAATGCTGATCCCCAGGCTGCCACTGAGAACTTGACTTCTGAAATGTGTTGATAGATTTCTCAAGGGTAACTGAAACTACACACTTCAGGATTGTAGGTTACTTACTCCCTACCCTTTGTAGCTCCTTCTTCCTTAGTTTACTTGGTAAACTGTAGTTTATAGGTAGCTATAGTTCACAATAAAGGAAGTAACTCTAACCTCACATTAACCCCAGGATCATCATTTCTTATGATGAAACAAAAGGAAAATGAGTGTGTGTGTGTGTGTGTGTGTGTGTGCGTGTGTGTGTGTGTGAGAGAGAGAGAGAGAGAGAGAAGAGAGAGAGAGAGTGTGTATGTGTGTGTGTGTGTGTGTGACACAGAGAGAGAGAGAGATTAAAGGAATTTCTAGTGCCTCACTTCAGCCTCTGGTAAATGAAGAACTTATTCTTGGGGCTTTTAAAAGTCATTAAACTTTCTGAAGTCCTGGACTCTTTCAATTATTTCTTCTCCCATTGCATTAACTAAAATGTGACCAAGCCTAACATTATCAGTCTCTTCCTAGGTCTTCTTTGAGAACCTTTTCAGTAAGTCCAAGCCCCTTATTATAGGCCATCAGTTTCAAAACATAGAAGTTCCTGTTTGTGGAAATACATTTCTTACAGAAAAATATCTAGCATCTTGTTCTTATGGTGGATTTAAGGGGGCTTAACCCATAGAGGCACCAGCAGCTGGATGGGGCCTTTTGATCTCTCTAACTCACCAAGGGGCTATGCGAGTACACAGTGTTATTAGGACTTTTCTGTGATTGCATTAGCATAAGACCATGTTAACATTTATTCAGTGTTGCTAAAATTTAAATAGAGATAAATATAAAATATTACAATTTCATGTTTTGGTGGTAACAGATTGCTGCTTGCAAAATGATTTGGCACTGCTTTTGATGGCCCGCTGGAGGGTCATTAGGGTGATAGCACAATATCATCAAAGCCATCAGAATACTGGTGGCAGAGTCCCCAATATCCTGAAAATGTCAGTGTTTTATGCAAACAGGAACTTTTGGAATGGTAAGAATGTTTCCTCTAGAGAAGGAAACCTTCAGTGCTCTTTTGTGATTTGTAAGAAGCCCCACCCCCTCTTTTAAAATACACATTTCTTCTTTAAAATATCACTTATTTATTTATTTATTTTTAAGAATTAACTTATTTTGAATTATGACAATTCCATAAGCTTTTGAGTTTTTAATTTTTCTTCCCCTCGCTTCCCACCTCCCTCCCCAAGACAGCGCTCAGTTTGATATAGGCTACACATATACATTCCTATTAAACATAATTTCACATTAGTGATATTGTAAGTAAGAATTAGAACTAATAGGAGGAACTACCAGAAAGAGGAAACAAAGCACAACAGAAGAAAAAAATAGCAAATAGTATGCTTCGATCCGCATTCAAACTCTATAGTTCTTTCTTTGGATGTGGATAGCATTTTCCATCATGAGGCCTTTGGAGATGTCTTAGATCCTTGTATTGCTGAGAAGGGTTAAGTCTATCAATATTAGTCATTGTACAACATTCTCCTGGTTCTGCTCACTTCACTCAGCATCAGACCATATAGGTCTTTCCAGGTTTTTCTGAAGTCAGCCTGTTCATCATTTCTTATAGCACAATAGTATTCCATTACATTCATATACCACAACTTGTTCAGCCATTCCCTGATTAATGAGCATCCTCTCAATTTCCAATTCTTTGCCACCACAAAAAGAGCTGCTATAAATATTTTTGTGCATGTGGGTCCTTTTCCCATTTGTATAATCTCTTTGGGATATACCTAGAGGTGCTATTGCTGGGTCAAAGGGTATACACATTTTTATAGCCCTTTGGGCATAGTTCCAGATTGCTCTCCAGAATGGTTGGATCATTCCACAACTCCACCAACAGTGCATTAGTGTTCCAGTTTTTCCACATCTTCTCCAACATTTATCATTTT